GTATCTTCTGTATATTTATTTGTCGTCTAAATGCAGAAATTTACACATGAAGTAGTATCTTCTGCAAGCTAAAAATCAGTTAAATAAAAAAAAAATATTTTCCTACCTGTGCTCTGAATTCCTTCATTTCTTTTTCAATTTATCGTATTTCTAATACGATTTGCGTTTTCGATAGTTTTTGCTCATGTTTTTATAATCGCTGGAATGTGGTGGTCGGTTTAACGATGTGAATCAGGCGACACAACAATTGGTAATGAGTAATGTAGAAGGCAGCGATGGAGAGTGACGTAAAATTTTAAATCTAAACATGTGGGTCAGCGGCGTAACATAGGTATATTACATGGTTATCTTTATTTCCACTAAAAAGGATGTGAAGCATAATAATCATCTTTATCGGTTATAAGCAGGTAGGGTTAGATTTGGCCCAGAACACTGCGGCCTCTTCGGTCTACTGTATTGCTCTACTTTACCGGTATTCAGGTACTATCTTCGAAATAGTCCTTACTAAGTGTTCCTGGGGCGTTCTCTCCGGTTCTAGGCCGAATCATTTACGAGTTATTCTGGTATGTTTTATATTTCCCAGTCTGCTCCAGTTGTTGGAGATGTCCAACCTGGCCTCCTCCCTAATGACTAGGAGAAGCAAGGGTGGGAGGTTTAGAATATCCATAGAGGCTGTCGGTGTACTTCTCAGTGTTCCTATAATACAAAGGCATGTCTTTGTACTCCTGAGAGGGTATTGAGGAGTTTTCTGGTTTACTTTCGGCCACCAAACAACCGCTCCATGAGTTATCATGGGTCTTGTTATTGCCGAATATATCCGTAGACCATTTTAGGTTTTAATCCCCATGTTTTCCCAAATGCCCGTCTCCCTATAATAAGAGACATTTTACATTTATTGGACACTTATTTTTGTAAGTGTTGGTTCCAAGTAAGTTTGCTATCTAGGATTAAACCCAGATATTTTACTTGGTTCTTTTTAGCCTTTAGACTATGAGATGTGCCTTGTCAGGGTTTATCAAACCAAGAGTTTTTACCTAACGCATCACATTTTTGTCAACCTTAGAGCTCTTTGCATGAATTCGAAAACTGAGGTTTGGTGTTTCCCCCAGATAATGATGACTACGTCACCGGCGTATCCTTGGGCGTACATCTAGAGGGTTGTCAGATTTACATAAGGGAAAGGCGGAACAGCGGTGTCAACAGGGGATCAGGTTAGAAAAACAGGTATTTTTATAAAATCAGGTGAAGATCTAAAAAAAGGCCCTCCGCATATATTTTTATATAAACCAGGTCTCTTTCTGAGGAGCTTCTCAAAAAAAGGTCTCACATCTTCGAAAATTTCTTTATTTATAACTTTAGATTTAAAAGGCGTGGCATTTGAGTAAAAAAGCGAGACATTTCAGTAAAACGCGTAGAATTTTGGTGAAAAGTAGTTTTCATACTTTGGCGTGACGCGTGCAAGTTAAAAAGTGGGATAATTACGCCTATAAAGCGGGACGTCTGGCAACCTTAGGTATATCCTTTAATTGTTCAGTGTCCTCAACAGTTCATCTGCCACTAGGTTCCACAGTAAAGGAGAAAGGACTCCTCCCTGTGGATATTCACCTGCATGGTTTCACTGCATTAACATTTGCGCCTGCACTTGCCGTCCGCGTATCATAGCAGTATATCCATGTTTCAACGCATGTGATGATATTGTTACGCAGCACCCTGTAGCGTGCTGCGGTCATCATAAGTAAAGGTACGAGTAAATGAAGAAGATAGAATATTCCCGAAGTCTCGAAATGTCATTCCTTGTCAAAGAAAAGTCCAGATTGTTCTAGAAGGTTCCAGAAGGGAAGGCAAGCTATACAAGGCGACGACCTGACGTCACAGTTTTAGTTTTATGATAGACGTTAAACGTTAATGTTATCAGTTAAAGTTATTGTGTCAGTTGAATTGAGTTATTGTAAAAGTTGGATTCAAATAAATTGTGATACCAAAAACCAGCGTAACAATATATATCAAATTAGACGACCCGTAGAAAAATAGACGACCCACCGTCAAAGCGATCTAGTGTAGATCTGCACCATCTTATATGCATGGTCTTCTTTTTCAGCTAAATTCAAGTCGTAGGGAATCCACCGAGAACAAAGCTTACGGACTTTCAAATGTTTGTGTAACATAGTGTTATTTGCTTCCACGCCAATCTTTAAAGTTGTTTGAATCTTGAATGTATCTGACAGCATTTAGAAATTTGTTGATCTTGCTTAATGTTAATTGTTACCCATATTACTTCATAGTAATTTATTTTACGAAATCAAAAATACGAGCGACCGTTTCCTTTCGGTAAACAACTACTCCTTTGGGGGGTTGGGTGGCTCTGTGGTAGAGACTCTGCCTGCGGATCCAAGGGTCCCAGGTTCGCGAATCCCACCGTTAACCAGGAAATTTCATTTAATTTAAAAATTTAAAATTAATTCTGATGCCTTGGTAGGATTCCCCACTCGACCATTCACTGTTGGGTTCTAATTAACAGTGCTGTTCTTAAAGTAGCGCTGATAATCAGTAACAAAGTCTACACAGAACACGAGGCGAAATAACCAGAGTATTTGAAGCCGATGACGCACAAAAAAACTACTCCTTTGGCTAATAGTACAACAGGCATTGAAATTTAATTTTAAGGCTCTATTTTTGATTTTGCTAACTAAGGAAAACGTCATTCTTGGACCGGTTTCATCATTATCAAAATTATTCAGCAAGAAATAGATATTCTCAATTCCAGTCTCTAATGGAATTAGCAAAAACGCATACTTGGATGGAGATTGCGAGAAAATAAGTTGTCACAAAGTAAAAATGGTAATGCACTTAGGGGTCTATTCTGTAACAATTCCTTTATATTTAACGGCCTTTAAAAATATTTTCTTCTTTACTTCTGTCATTATTTAAACGGATCTTTAAAATACATTAGAGGACTATCTTAAAGAAATCTGTTTAAATAATGACAGAAGTAAATTAACGAATACAAACATATTTTTAAAGTTCGCCAATATTTTTAAAGGCCGTTAAATATAAAGGAATTGTTACAGAATAGACCCCTTAGTAAGCAAAATCAAAGCTCGCTTGTGGTGCCCAGTTGAAAAACTGGGTGGAACCAAAAGGCGGGCATTAAAAAAACAAGGAAAATAAAATAAATGAATCACGAAGCCATATGTTACACAAAATACGAGCGACCATTTAACTTTATGACTAATTATTTTCTCGCAACCTCCATCGATGTATGTATAAGTGAATGTATGCTAACACTAATAATTTCAATAGAGACTGGACTATTTCTTGGTGAAGAGTCCTAATAAGGACGAAATCGGTCCAATATAGCATGAGCATGAGACAGGCAAGAAGTATGGTTTAAAAGTAAACTTAGCCATAAGCCATAATGTCATAAAGTGGTACAGAACATTTAGAAGATTTCCAATATTTGAGAATTTGACAATAAATCTATTTGAATTTGACTTTTAAATAGAGTAATTTTCTGTCATTTCCTTTAAGTTCGAGGGAACGGATTTAAACAACTTTGGTCTAAAATAAAAAAAAAATTGAATTACTCGTTTGTGAAAAAAAAATCAATGATATTTAAATTAGTTACGGCCCTTGCAAGAGGTTTTTCTTGGGAAATTTGTATATTTTAGGTACGCTCTTCGAAGGCATTGGATTGATATAATAATTGGATTGGAATAGTAGTTTGTGCAACAAGATGAGTGGATATGATGGCCATATCGCACGAAGACGAAATTTGAGCACGATGCCGTAGGTGGAGTGCTCAATCGTCTGAGTGCGATGTGGACAATCCACTCGAGTTGTATAGTATATTTTTTCTATGACCCACAAAAATTTACAAATAAAAAATATTTTAGGTTAAGAAAAAATAACTAATTTTAAAATAATTTATGACTTAATAATTTTTAAAATAAAATAAACGAAAAAAAAGAAAAACAGTTGATTTAATTTTTCCCCATCCGAGAATCGAACTTGAGTTTTCCGTGTGGAAGTCAAGACTGCTGACCACAGGACCATCTATTCTTTTATTTTTGTTGCTTTAATACTCGTAATTAAATTGACTTCATATATTTAAATTAACAAATTATTTATAATTATAGACGAAATAAAAACAGAAATGCTATTATTTATCGATTCTACACAATAATGACCCATTTTAATGTATGTTTAATCTCAATAACTAAAAAATATACTGACAATTAGTTAGACAGAATTGTCACTTATTTAAAATTTTAAAAATGCCCTAGTTCAGTGATGATGTAATTATGGTTCCACTGACAATTAAAGTGACAGTAAATTTTTTGAGTGCGTTTGGTTCGTTTTGTTTACTTACCTAAATTATATCGTTTTTTTTTTTTTTTCACTTTTATAAATATATTCCTAAAGTAAGTATCAAATATGTATCAAATATACAATCGTTTAGTTACCAATTACATACCTTTAAACTATTTTTTATGACATGTAAACAATATTTTGAAATAAAATAAAAACAGTAAAAACGTATATGTCAAATTTATTGATGTTTTTGTTAAAAGTTTGGCTAGAATTATATGTCAGTGGAACCAAAATGACATCACACTGAACTAGCGCATAGAAATCGGTTGATCAAAATTTGAACGGTGATTGGTGGATTTATTTTTTTTGCAGTGTTCTCACTACCTAGAATGGATATGAAATAATATATTCGTTCAGTTGAAGGCAATAGCATACTTTTTCGTTTTGTAATCTGTGCGTAGATAAGCTAATATCTATGTGGGTGTAGATACATTAATTTGTGTTTCCTTTTTTGTATACTCATTTCATAAGTTTGTGATGACGTACACGCCGCGATCGGTGAAATGGCCTATTTTCGCTTTATTGCATTAAAAGGGGGATATTTGGGGCAAAACCATTTTAAAAATTAACCAGACCAAAGGAAAAATAAATAACCTGTATAATATCAATAAGAATACTTTAATTTTCAGGCATTTAAACTTACACACCCTGAAAGAATGCAGCCGCATAGAGAAAAACGTCTTTAAAGCTATTCCAAACCTATCAGTATTAGAAGCCTACGGATATCCTAAATTGGGCTACCTGGATATACAAGGCTTACTCCAAAACATGCCACTGTTAGAAAAAATTAACATTGAAACTAAAGATCCGGCCATTGGAAAGGATCAGCTGCAATCTTTGCTCCATCCCAGACTTAGAGAATTAGGAATTAGAGGTTCTAGACTTAGGAGTATCTCATCGGGGACGCTTTCAGGACTCAAAGGCAAGTGTTACAAAGAAAAAGTTTTTGGTTATTAACGAAATATTTTGCAGGAGCCGAAATAATTATCCGTCTAATAAACACATCATTGACTTCCCTTCCACCGGCGCTATTCTTCCCAGTGCCAAGATCTACTCGTATTATCCTCGACGTTACCGGAAGTCAATTAACGACAGTCAGCCCACAATTATTGGCCACTTTTGAAGACAGACGAGGAGATCTTAAAATGATTGGGCTCGAAAGCAACCCCATTATATGCGATTGCAGCTCTAGAGCACTAAGAAGATGGCTGCCATCGCATATGACCACAATCAGGTGTTTCGGGCCTGAGCATCTCATAGACAAACTCCTAGTGGAAATAGGCGACGATGAACTTACCTGCGATCCAAGAAAAATCACATCCATTACCACACCGTCGTCCACTTCGATCTATACTAGAGGAATGAAGCTGCACCCGAAAATGACTGAACCCGAAATCATCTGGTCAATGCCAACGACAGAAAAAATAAAACAGAAAATCGCCCAAGCCGGGCCATCCCCCATAACTAACGACGACACCCTCATAATAGGAATAGTAGGCGGTGTTGTCGCTTTCATAGCCATGCTGATTATAATTATATGTATTATAAGACTGAGAATGACAGGAAACCACTACAGGGGCGGTCCTATGACCACCACCAATCCTATGATGGGCGTGGTCGGGCCCGGAAGTAGTTGCGCTTGCAGCGTAAAGGGGGCGCCGTCCGTTTACGCAGTTCCGCCGTACGCTGCGGCGTACTCGGCGACTCTCCCGCACAAATTGGGCAGCGCGCAAGTTCTAAGGCCGTCTAGTTATTCGACTATGGGGCGGATGCCGTACAATCAATCGGCCGGTCAGCCGTATTTCATAGCGACGTATCCATCGGATGAAAAAATTTATCGGTAGCCATGTAGATAATTAATTGATGAGATAGTTATTTCGGGCGTCTTATTCTGAAATTCGGTCAGTGCTTATAGTCGCAAAAAACTGTCTTGGAATTATTTGTACAAGGGTATGAGCCCTCGCTTGAACAATGCAGCAACTGAAAATTTATGGAGTGGTCCACAAAAAATATTTCTACAGTAGGTCTTGGGAAAATTAATGTATCTCAAAGCATACAATTATTCTTCTTTGTGTCAGTTTGAATTTAATTTAGACAGTTCTTACATGACTTGTATATTTGTCCTTGTTGGCCAGGACCTACTTTCGAAACTTTTTTTTGTTCATCATTCTTTATTTTAGAGGGATGGATAAATATTTTTACAAAAAAGTCTGACGGACAGTTTAGTAATCATAATAATTCTAGTGTACGGAATAAAAATATTTAGTGTCAATAGTTAATACTTTTTTTTGCCTAATTTAGAGTACTTCTGAGCTTGATTAATCTCACTTATTCCTTGTTCTATGGGGCCCACACAGGGCCTTATCAGTATTATCTTCCTCTTGTATATGGTACAAATGATCTGTAGATCTTTCTGTGGTTTTTTTGCATTTTTCAATGGACTTGATCATTCTTTCCCAGGATTTGTTATCCTTTTCCAATCATTTATGATTAGTTTCTGCAAGTATCTGTTTACAGTTTCCATTTAACCCTTCCTTATTAGCCATGTTGGTATTTTTCTTTCCTATTTCATTTCCATAACCATTTTTGTCAAAATCCATGATTTTGCTGCATAGATTATGACTGGTATTTCTATCCTCATATGTAGATATTTATTTTTGAGATTATTAGAATGACTTATACGTTTTTAAACTTTGCAGAGAAAAACATTTTCTACACTAATTTATGACATAATTGGTATGTATATAAGCTTGATTAATCAATCGTTTAAAAAATCGTCCAGACTTCCACAATTAAACATTGTACAAATTTCATCTAAATAATTATCAAATGAAGAAGGGCATCCAACCTCTCAAATGTGGTCATCTTCAATGAGACAATAAAACTACACAGATTTATTTAATTTAGTGTCCGGTTTTGTCTAATTATCCATCCTCAAACCTTAGGTCCTATAGTTTACTAGAAAAATACCTTAAAATTTTAAACGTAAACCTACATATAACTTTATTCAGAGGTAAAAATATCGACTCTTTTAATTAAAAAAAATCCGAGTAAAATCCTGTCACCAGCGGGATTCAAACCTGAGATGCTTTGATCTCAAAGTCATGACTCTGAGCACTAAAATATTTATTATTATTATTATTATTATTATTATTATTATTATTATTATTGGGAAACAAAACTTAATGATTCTTTCAAATGTAATAGATTTTCACTGTTCATAAATGTTGCATATGGAGCTTAATTGTAGTGCAAGTTTTATTTCTGGTTTTATATTTGAATGACCTCAGTTAAAAGTGTTTGGAGTCGCTTAAATTAAATAAATCTGTGTGGTACTCATTTTACGTTTTATTGTCTCAATGAATAATTATTATTCTTATTTCGTTACAGAAGAAAATAATAGTAATAATTAAAAACTAATTCACATAACAATTCTTTTCCTCAACCATACAAAAATTATAGATTATATATGAATTGTTGAGAAAAATGCAGATTTATTCCGCAATGTTTTTTTTTATTAAAATATAAAAAGAAAACTTAAAACGAATTGATTAGCACACATTGACTTTAATATTTTAATGATATGTAAACAGTTCTCTCTATAGTCTCTTTATTAAGAGGTTTGAATGTTTTTAAGTAAATTGTTTTTAGACGTTTTTATTAGAATATTTTTTGAAAAACGATGCAAGTTTCCAAAATCAAAATACTTTAAACTTAGTGTGAATACCTGAAGATTAAGCTCAACGATTTTATGACAAATTTAATGTGTTTGCCATATATAATAGTGGTTTTCATTTAAAAATTGTGATTATTTTCCATTTTTAATTTAATTGTAATAAATAAATATTGTACCTATTTATATTATTTAATATTGTTTTTATAACGAATTTGTAATTTATATTATTTAATATTGTCTTTATAACGAATTTGTAATATATAGTAAATATTTTTTATATTTATTTCTGTAATAAAAATTATATTATTACCTCTTCATTTTATTTTTAATTTAAAAACCAAATATAAACTCTATTAAATGCATCACAAAAAAAATTGAACTTCTGCTAATATACCTACATATGGTATTAAAATTAAACAAAAAATATTAAAAACTTTCAATTTATAAGATAAAAATATTTATTTTTAAACATGAAATCGAGTTTACAAAAATAATAAATAACGATTACAAAAAGAAACCTAAATCTCATTCTAGATATAATATATATAATCGATTTATGGTGAGGTGAAATTAGTTTAAAACCTATTATAAAGTAAATCCCATATATATTTACATTATTAAAAGGTGCTTCCACCCCCACACCTAAACAATGATACAATCAAAGGCGTATGTGATCGTTTGATAACCAGTTTTATATCCACTTTTTTATTCAACGAAACTGATTGAACTTGTCAGAAACTTATAATTTTCAATGATAACACAATTTAAAAAAAATATATACAAATATGTCACTACAATTAGACATAGCCAGAGCTAGATCACCAGATCAGACCCTTATTAATTTTTTCCTGAAATACCTTTCATATCAATGTGTTGAACAGGGCATGGCCTGAATTATTGACATAAGCTTCCTTCATAAAGATTTGAGATCTATAAATCACACAAATAGATGTAAATAGTACTTAGAAACATACGTTCAAAGATGTTTAACCAAAATTCTGTTGAAGTTAAAAAAAAATTCTTCAAAATGCACCTAAATGTACATTCAAGAATTACTCTGATCACAGGACGTACTAATTGAAGGCTTAATCTCTAATGAATTATCTAAAAATGGTGATACATCACACCCTGGGGCATCATGTTTAATTTCTATGTAAGGAGGTATATCTCCAGCTAACAAATGATTAACTTGTAAATCAGAGAACCTACTTTCTGTAGACACTATATTTACTGTATTAGAATTATTATTGCTTTTATATTTTTCCCCAGTGTGCACTAAAACATGGTTAGTAAGAGATTGTTTTCTATTAAATTGCTTTCCACAATGTTGACATTGGAATGGTTTTTCTCCCGTGTGGATTAACATGTGGTCCCTTAAGGTAGTGCTTCTTACAAACTGTTTACCACACTGTTTGCATTCATAAGGTTTAACCCCTGAAACAGCAATCATTAAATATTTTATTGCCAAATATTCACAATACACATACCTGTATGCATTAATTTGTGTCTATCCAAGTGATAACTTGATAGGAAACCTTTTCCACAAAAACTACATGTGTGTGGCTTTTCTCCTGCATGTCTCCTCATGTGATAACTTAGATGACTGGATTGTGTAAATGATTTTTGACAAACTGTGCATTTGTGAGCTTTGATTCCAGTGTGTGTTAACATATGAGTTTTAAGAGTGTCTTTTGTAATGTAACATTTACCACATTCTCTGCATTCAAAAGGTTTTATTCCTAAAAAAATGTTAAATAGGTAAGAAAATATAAATAATAAGAACTCAATTTACCTGTGTGACTTAACATATGCCTGTCTAATCCATTTTTTCTAGTATAATTTTTCCCACAATAATTACATAAAAATCTCCTTTTCCCTTTCAATTTTCTTCCTTTTATATATTCAGGTTCGCCATCTGATTCATCTTTTACCTGTTTTTTCTTTCGACCCTTAGGTTTCTTTAAATAATCTACAATATTACATATATCCTTTTTAGAAGTCACTTCCTTAGGGCGGCAATTAGAAAAATCTTTGTAGTGTTCAGAAAGATCAACCAGCTTCGTGAATGTTTCACTGCAGTTCTCACAAGTAATTGGTCCTTCCTTGTTTAAATGTAACACTACTTCAGGTTCCAATTCTACTATCTCTTGTTTAACATTATTTAAGAAAAAATCATCTTCATCTTCACTTTTTAAATCATCATTATCACAACCTTCCAAATCATCTGGAATATTTATTGATTGTTCTAGTTCTTTAAGAACTACAACTTTTAAAGCTTGTTCATTGTTTTTGCACATTGCAATAAAACTCGTCACGTCCTCTAATTGTTGAACACATTTCAGGCACACATTTTCAGGCATTTTATCCTCTTCTTTTATCTAAAACAACAAAAATTATAAGTGACATAAATGAGATTTCGTTCTAAAATTACCTTAATATTTGTAATTGCAACAAATAAATCTATATCTTTCAGGTCTAAAATGGGTTTAAGTTCTCCATATGTTAAACAACACCTACATATTTTAGCAAAATCTTTAAATTTTATACTTTTATTCATGTTTGTTTTGAAATATTATAAACAGAGCCAATATGGAGGTTATAACACTTATAACTGTAAAACGGTCAAGTTGGCAATCTGTGACATTGACGTTTAGGCATTTTTTGATTCAGTTAGCATTCCAACGACCTGTCAAAATGCTGCCAGTGGGAACTGACAGTTTAGATATGGCAACCCCACCGACCTTGATAGCTATGGATTGATTCCACCACTGTTGTGTTAAATGAAGTTTAAAATTACATTTTTACCATAGATATGATGATTTTTACATTAACAATGTCATTTTAATCTCCGTTTAACACAGCGGTGGAATCGGCCCTTAATTGTTAATGTAAAAATGTCATTTTAAACCTCGAGTAACACAACGGTGGAATCGGTCCTAAATGACATAAACCCTACTCCTAAGGTTTGTTCCAACAACGATCTTGGAACAATACATAAACCAGTCCAAAACTTATTGTTGACAATCTGTCGATGACTAGTAATTGACAACTTGTCAGGTACTGGTCGGGGATTGGGACTCAACTCGGAACTCGATTATGTTGGAACACATTTTTTAAATTCAACAGACGCATTATTACAATAATAAACCACAAAATAAAATAAATGATCATGAACAAAAACTATGAAGACTAAGCTCGATTAACAAATACAAATCAGAACTGTCAGAGACAATAGATACAAATAATATAATTACAATCACGAAATGTTCAGTTTATTGCGGCTTAGCGCATGTCTTGACAATTCGTTCCTATTCAGACCCAGGAACTGATTTGACAGTACACAAATCGGTTTGTGATTAATTTTGGTTGTGTTGGAACACTATGTTTTTGTAAAGTTTCGAGTCTAAGGTTTGTTGGGTCACAAATTCTAGACTGCGCAGAATCCCGACGGTACACAAACTGATTTGGTTTATGTTGGAACAAACCTTTTATTAAGCCGAGATGGATGAAAAAAACGGTGGGTGCGCATGACAATTTGGACGCCAGACTGTCAATTTCGAGCATTCTACGTCACGTTTCCTACGGACGTACTATAACAAATTATTATTCGAACATTTGTTTCAGGTGCGTATTTTTTTTTTTATTTGGTGTCATCGGCGTCGACTACTACGGCCATTAGCCTCATGTTCTGTGTAGGCTTTGTTACTGTTTCCCAGCGCCACTTTAGGAACAGCACTGTTAATTAGAACCCAACAGTGAATGGTCGAGTGGGGAATCCTACCAAGGCATCAGAATTAATTTTAAATAATTAAATTAAATAAAAAAATCCCAGTTAACGGTGGGATTCGATCCTGAGACCTTCCGATCTCAAAGTCATGACCCTAACCACTGAGCCATCCCGCCCCCCAGGTGCATATTAATCAAAAATTATTTTTAAGTGACTTTCTTAAATTAAAAGATGTCGTAGTTGAATGTAATAAATGTTAAATTTAATGTTGATGTTCCTTTATAGTGCATTTCGATACGCACGTGTGGGCGCCACAGTGTCAAATATCACCCATGCTTGCCTTCGCTTCTGTAAAAGTAGATTATTCTGTGGCTTGATTTTGTTGATCGGCTTTGTTCTTCTAGTGCGCTGGATACAGTTCTGAATAAAAGAACACGCCTTTTTTGACACTAACACAGAGTAAGTGTTCAGGGGGGCTATTTTCAAACTCGAGAGAATTCATTTCTCTCAAGAGAAATGTCATACGTCAACGTAAAACCGTATTTTTAGGGCTCTTAGGGCCAGTGTGAACTCACTGACTGTTTCTCTCGGTTTATTTAGAGAGAATTAAAATCTTCCTAAGAATTTTAATCCTCGATGCCTTTAAAAACAACATTTCCACATTGACGTATGACATTTCTTATGAGAATCTTGAGAGAAATGAGTACTCACACAGTTTGAAAATAGGTCCCCAGGGCCAATGAACTGGAGTGGGGTAGAAAGCCAATGTGCATATTGTATCAATAAAACAAGATACGACTCTATGGGCGCAGCCATTTTTATTTCTCATCTCACTCGGGAGTATTTATAATAACCATTTTCTGTTTCACATTGTTATTGTTCAATCCACAAGCTGGTGGATCAGACAATAACAAAGTGAAATAGAAAATGGTTGTTATAAATACTCCCGAGTGAGATGAAAAATAACCTGTCTTTGCCCATAGAGTCGCATCTCAAGCCTATTGACAAGCATTCTACCCCACTCCAGTTCATTGCCCAGGGCACATACTTTGATTACTATACGAGGCAAGAGAGAGGTCCGACACGCCCAACATAGGGCCCGGCCATTTTGAACCCTATGCAACAGTTTATAGCTAAAGAATCAGTTCGCTCACTCTGCGTCGGCACTTTTGATCTCAATATTCCAGTTTATACACTGCGCAACTCGGATAATACAATATATAACAACCGCCTATAATAAAACAGCTGTCTTCTGCGTATCCTAAATTTGTATCCCTGTTGTGGATCTTATTTTGAAACTTTCAATTGGTCCGAGTGAGCTAACTGATTCTTTAGCAATAATCTGTGACTCAAAAAATAATATTCACTGACACTGACAGCCGCAAGCAAAATATCAGGTGCGTTTTAATCATCCGCTTCTGCTTCCGGAATTGTCGGTTTAGTCGTTTTAACTTGTCAAATTAAAACAAGAAAACCGACAATTCCGAAGTAGAAGCGGATGATTAAAACGCACCTATTAAAAAATATTGCGCCAAGATGTAGGCAACACGTAATAAGGGTTCAAAATGGCGGAGTTTTCTATCTCCTTTTAAAAGGCACTCAGAAAGCTGCGCAGTGCGATCATTCTCCCATTGCGTTCGGTCTGCCAAGTTCCTTTAACTTCTTTAACACTTTTAACTCCAAACGACCCTTTTAGCGTTTGGTTTAGTCCGAATAATGACAGTTTAACACGCTTAAATGTCATTTAAAAGCACCCTAAAATTTGTCCCGCTCCAGCCCCTGACTATCCGAACTCGCCTTCCGTATAGCACATACTTTGATTTTCTTTTACTATACGGAGAATGGTCGCACTGCGCAGCTTTCTGAGTGCCTTTTAAAAGGAGATAGAAAACTCCGCCATTTTGAACCCTTATTACGTGTTGCCTACATCTTGGCGCAATATTTTTAATAGGTGCGTTTTAATCATCCGCTTCTGCTTCGAAATTGTCGGTTTTCTTGTTTTAATCTGACAGGTTAAAACGACTAAACCGACAATTCCGGAAGCAGAAGCGGATGATTAAAACGCACCTGATATTTTGCTTGCTGCTGTCAGTGTCAGTGAATATTATTTTTGAAGTCACAGTTTATTGCTAAAGAATCAGTTAGCTCACTCGGACCAGTTGAAAGTTCCAAAATAACATCCACTCCAGGGATACAAATTCAGGATACGCAGAAGACTGCTGTTTTATTATAGGCGGTTGTCATATATTGTATTATCCGAGTTGCACAGTGTATAAACTGAAACATTGAGATCAAAAGTGCCGACGTAGAGTGAGCGATCTGATTCTTTAGCTGTAAACTGTGTCACAGGGTTCAAAATGGCCGCGCCCTATGTTGGGCGTGTCGGACCTCTCTCTTACCTCGTATAGTAATCAAAGTATGTGCCGTATAGTAAAAGAAAATCAAAGTATGTGGACTAAACCGAATGCTAAAAGGGTCGTTTGGTGTTAAAAGTGTTAAAGGAGTTAAAGGAACTTGGCAGACCGAACCACAAAGCATGTATCTTCTAGAGACCCCACGCCAATGTTAAACTTTTAAACCAAATTAGCGCCACCTTGTGTTTGGAGCTGGAACTAAAATGACAGATGGCGGTAAATTCAAATTGTAATTTTTAGGAGTAGGTAGTAGTTTTAAATGATTTCCACATAAATTATTTTATAAAATAAAGTATGGAACTAGTAAGTTCGAAACTTTTATTTTACAAAATAATTTAGGTCGATTATACCAAATTTGAAGAATTAATTTGTTATAAGGGGTCTAATGTGGAGAGTTGGTTCTGCATATTTTTATTAAATAAATATAAGATATATCAATAAATAATAAAATAGAACATTCTTAAAATATGTTTATTAATAACTTAAATAAATATTATTAGATAAAAATAAATACAAATAATAATACATATTTAAGGAATACTTACTTGGAGCAAATAGATATATAATCTCAAATCTTTAAAATACTTATCAATAATTTAAATGTGAAGTAGAGACTAGGATATTACATTTTATTAACACTAAAGTTATATATTTTATAAATGTCTTTTTAACTGAGGACAAATGTAATATAGGTATTGTATTAAAAGGTGAATGCTTTTAACTATCCCAGATAGCACAGGACGTCCCATGGACGTCCTGATTTGGTCCCTTGTTGGTCCGGTTGGTCCCGGACCTAAATAGGACGTCCACTGGACTTCCGATTACAGTTAACACTAGGACGTCCTTAGAAGGACGTCCTCTGGACGTCCTATTTTGGTCCCGTTTCGACAAAGCGTTTAGTTTTCGGTCCGAGTCCGGGACGTTAATGGGACGTCTATGGGACTTTCTATGCATTAGCATCGTTGGTCTTTGAATCGATAACTTGAAATTCAACGTTTTGATTTTGCAAGAGTATGAGGACAGAAAACCTAACCTATCATTTATTTTCAAATGAACAACAATAGCTACAATTTTCGGCTTCAATAATTAACTTAAATAAGTGAGTTAGATTAACGAAGAAAAAAGAAGGTTATATAGTGTTATTTGTTATTTTTTTGATGCTGGTGGTAAAGTGGTTATAAAGTGAAGTGAGTGTTTTGTGTTGATGTGAGAATAAGTGATGTGTATTGTCGGTAGCCGCTGGCGGAAAGAAAATACCTTAATGGCGGAAAGTTGGAACAAAACTAATTTGGACAAAATTATAATACTCAGTTTTGTCGACACAAGCTATAAGTAGGACCCAAGGTTTCATCTTGCCAGCGCTGTGTGTTAAATTTAATTCATTCCTGTTTTTTTTTTTGTAAACTGAAAACGTTTAACTCTAGCTAGGTTTTTTAGGATAAAAGTTGTTAAATAAAGCTCTTTTATTGTTAACATTTTTGTTATTATTACCCTTTATGGATTATGGTCAAATATCGTCCCTCGGACGTCTGATTTACGTCCCTAGGACGTCCCGCAAAGGTCCCTATGACGTCCTTTTGGGATGTCCCAGGGACGTCCCTAAGATGGACAGAAACGGGACATTAGGACGTCCATGGGACGTCCGATTGACGTCCCGGTACCAAAATAGGACGTCCCTCGGACGTCCTTTATGTCCCTAAAGGACGTCTTTTAGACGTCCATAAGACGTCCGTGTGCTATGTGGGATTCATTCAATGATAAATAGGTATTTTCCTTCCAAATACAGATGGTGGTATTACTCTCTTATGTGAAAAATGATTTCGGAATCTAGTCCAGTGATAAATTGATTATCAATTAGTTGTTGTCCCCGTTTATCTTTTTATGATGCAGATGCATGGTGAATAGGTGAATATATGGTGAATCAATGAAGTTTTTCTCGAAGTTTTCAACGTAGCACCAAAATTATTGCAAAACACAGTAGGAAATAAAAAAGCGAAACATCACAATTTTGCAAATAACTAAGACGAAACTATAAACAGAAACCAAAAGCCAAAGCCAACAAAAAATCACTAAAATCAGACGGAAAAATGAAACTAACCAAGAACATAAATAAATACACGTCACATCTTTGGGTTTTTCTTCCATAAGGCTTAAAAATGGAGTAAGAAATCATAATTTCACCAGTAGCCCCATCTAGAGTTTGGAGCAAATAGCATAAAAAATGTCAGTTGTCGGTTTTGACCTTGGTCATTCACGTGGAACCTCTATGTGCTTTGTGGACCGAACGCAATTGCTGCGTTTGAGAATCCACATCGGATGCATTTTTTACATCTCGAGCGTTTTTTTATCCACATTGGACACATCTGTCCCATTACATTTACGTATACTGAATCACGTGATCAAAGATTTTTTACATCTCAGATGCATCCGATGTGGATTCTCAAACGCAGCAAGAGTGTGACTAAAACATTTGACAGACATTGACACATGATGTGACACTTGAAATAAAGTGAAATAAAAATATAAATAAATATTTTGTTTAACTTTAACTTGCCTTTTACATTACTCTATTAACATGGAAGTGTTTAACAAAGTAATGAATCAGGTGAGTAGTTCCGTACATAGTACTGTATCTCAACTCTCAGGAGTTTTACCAGGAAATCCAGTAACGAGAGAATTTGAATCATCTGCCCACATTGCCTCAGCAGGACCAGGTAAACGCCCTCACACAATTAATTTTCAATTTCCTACAAACTAGTTTAATTCTGTAGGTTTACTATGGAAGATTTACAAGGGAAATAAACGTTCTACAAGACAAGAAGCATCAATATTTGTATTTGAAAAACGACAATTAGATAGGTACAGCAGAAGTGATCGGGAAATAATTTTAGAAACACTACGTAAAGGAGTAGTAAGGCTCACAAAAATTCGTCATCCAAAAATATTAACAGTTCAACATCCTTTAGAAGAAAGCAGAGATAGCTTAGCTTTTGCTGCAGAGCCAGTTTTTGCAAGTTTAGCCAATGTCTTAGGACATACCACTAATATGCCCCAACCTGCCAATATGTCTGATTATAAATTATTTGATATCGAAATTAAGTATGGTTTATTGCAAATTAGTGAAGGTTTAGCATTTTTACACAATGATGTTAAACTGTTACATAAAAATATCAGTTCTGAAAGTATTATAATTAACTCCCAAGGAGCTTGGAAAATTTTTGGTTTTGACTTTTCTGTTTTAAATACAAATCCAGCAAATATGCCTCCAAGCTACCCATTTGAAGAATATAGCCCAACAGTGCCACCTGTTTGCCAACCCAATTTGGATTATCTGGCTCCAGAATGTATTGTTTCTTTAACACATTCTTCTGCTAGTGATATGTTTTCACTTGGTATGTTAGCATATACTATGAATTCGCCTGATAAGAAATGCTTCAAACCTATCAGAGACCTCCATCAGTTTAAATCTAGGGCACAGGAGTTGTCAAAATTAAGTACTGGAAAAATGCAATTTATACCTGAAGGATTAAGGGAATTTTGCAAGTTATTGTTAAATGGTACTCCTGAAGTTAGACCCGATGCTCATCAGTTTGTTAAAGTAAGTCAGAATTTTACTAGTATTTATCCTTTGTATTTTCCATATAGGTACTACATAAATGTACAATTTAAAATAGTATCTTGAAGTAAGTCTCAGAATTTATAAAGTTATTAAATGTGTTTTTATTATTTTAGATTCCTTTCTTTGATGATGTTGGAATAAAAACCCTAACCTATCTAGATTCTGTCCTACAATGGGATAACCTTCAAAAATCACAGTTCTACAAGGGTTTACCTGAAACGCTAAACAAATTACCTCACAGGGTCAAAATTCAAAGGGTTGTAGCATGCTTAGCACATGACTTAGGCCAACCTGCCATGGTACCATTTATATTACCAAGTTTATTAGATATCGCACAGGATTGTAGTGAGCAAGAATTTTGTGCTCATATTTTACCACTTATTAAACCTTTAATGACACTCTTAGAACCAGTGCAGGTACGTTAAGACAGATATTCTTATTTAAATGTTAATTTAATAATTATTTCAGGTTCTTCTGATTTTCCTGCAACGAATGGAACTCCTTCTAAAGCTGACTCCAGCTGGAGATATTCAACGCCATGTGCTACCAATGCTCTATAGAGGATTAGATGCTGATTCACCTCAAATTCATGAACTTTGTTTAGCTGTCCTCCCTACTTTTGCAGGTCTTTTAGACCATTCTAATGTTAAAAATAGTTTGTTACCTCGAATCAAAAAACTTTGTCTTAACACATCCACTCTTTCAGTAAGGGTGAATTGTCTTCTTTGTGTAGGAAGACTTCTGGAGCATCTAGATAAGTGGTTGGTTATAGATGAAATACTACCATTCCTACCACAAATTCCATCTCGAGAACCAGCAGTACTTATGGGCATTTTGGGTATTTACAAGTTAGCTTTGCATCACAAAAAGTTGGGTATAACCAAAGAGATAATTGCATCTAGGGTCCTACCATTTTTGATACCTTTATGTATAGAAAATGGTCTTAGCATTCCACAGTTCAATGCTTTAACTACTCTAGTTAAAGAAATGTTCCAAATCGTTGAAACTGAACATAGAACAAAATTAGAGCAATTAAACAATGTAAAAGATGAACAAAAAATGCTTGCTAACACAATGCCAGTAGTTTCACCAAAAACGAAACCTATTGAATTAGATACTGCATTCTCTGGATTGGGTTTAGATAATTTCGTACCAGGTATGAACATTCAGCAAAAACAAAACCTTGCACAACAACAGGAATCTTTTAAAGCTTTCAGTGAACAACCTGCTATTCAACCTAAAAAGGTAGATGGTACTCCTAAATCTGTCCCCAAAGATTTATCCTCTTCTTTGCTAGATGATTGGGTAAGTAAAAATACCACTTCTCTACCTACACCTGATAGTCAGGGTTTCCACAAGTATAGTAACGCCACTAGCAGTCTAATGGCATTAAGTAATGCTCCCACTAATCAAATAACCTCAACTAACGCCTCTAAGATGTTTGGTAATGCCTCTAGAAATTCTTTCAATAACAACCAAATGATGTTGACCAGCCCACAAAGTCCTAGCTCTAATTCTCAATGGGGGTCCCAGACTAACTGGAACACTTCCCTGACACAAAGTAATACTCCTTTAATGGGTGCTTCGAATTTCTCTAATAATAATGCTGGTGCCAATCAGTGGAGTAATTCGCAGGGAGGCAATTCACAAAATTGGAGTGCCTTTGATACTCTCTTACCAAGTGGTAATGGAAATTCAGGTAAAGTGCCCATGAATAAAGTGGGTGTGCAAAATGTGCCTCTAATTCCAAGTGCTAGTGGCAATAGCGTTAATAACAATAAAAAGGGATTGTCTAAGGATGATATAATGGATTTCTTGAGCTAAAATTTTGAGTTTATTAGATAATAATTGTTTTTTTTGTGATATGTGTATATAGTTGAATCTGGAAATAATAGGTAGTGATGGAATATATGAAAAATGCTGTCTAATTAATAATAAAATTAGTAATAATCATCAGTTCGCATTTGATCGAAATTAGATATGATCCAAATCTCATACAGTATGTTAAGTTTCATACACTCTCGCCAAAAGAATGGTATAGAATAAGCGATGCCATTGATTAGACAGAGGTAGAAGTGTGCACCAGCCCACAACTGGTAGAGGTATATACATATGTTCAATTATGACGCAGGCAACCGAGACACGAGAGCTTCTCCTTATTTTTCTTACATGCAAATATAATTAAGCGTCTCATCTTTATATCGAAGGATCCATGGGTATTGTATAATGTTTGAAAGCAAATGATCGGAATGGTGTAATATCGAAAGCATTATATTACAAAATTAGTAAAGTAGTCGTTTTTTTATTTTTCTCATTTTATGCAAAAAATCTGCAAACAACTCGCGATGGCTCCAGGCCGTACAGTGGGGCAAATTATTTTTTTTTTGTAATTAGAGTTGTAGAAAAATAATTTTATTTAATATATTTTACACTTATATTCAACTTTTTGAATTCATGTGTGATTAGAGCACCTCCACTGTGATAATACTATCAGGTAATTTATCGTCTCAGTTCATGTCCGTTCCATATTTTTAGTGTGAAGATAAAATTAAAAATCAACTTAATTTACTAATTTCGAAATATAATGCTTTCGATCTTATATCATTTCAATCATTAGTAGATTTAAACATGTGTTTTCGATCATTTGTAATTTTGATCATTTGTTCTAATTTCAAACTTTTTTAGTTTTGAAGTTATAGTCCCCAGTACATCGATCTTTGAATTTTGTAACTCCTGAGCGGCTTCATAACACCAAGTCGGACAAATTTTTTCATATACTTCACCCTGGGAAATGGGACTTTTTCGCACAAGCTCTTCATGAAGTTGTTGTTCTGGAAGGAAGTTGTTACATGTACCTGTAGTTTTAATGTGAATCGACGACTTTTTTATTACATTAACGACATCACATTTGTCGGACAAAAATCACGTGGATTGTGGGGCTCCGACGCCCCCAACGTGTAGTAAATGTCGGACAAAAAACTTAAGTATTAACCAGTCGGACAACAAGAGTCCAAAAAAATAGTGTAACCATGTAGTATACTCCATATATAATAAATAATGTAACCCATGCTTTGATTGTTGTTGTTATTATTATTATTATTGTTATTTGGGTTCTCGGTATTACATTGTTATTCATAATTATTTTTGTAAGACATACATGTATCAAAGTATATTAACCATTGAGTAGCGACATAAAGCGTCGGTGCCTTTGATCTTGGGTGGTGCAAATTTTCTTTCTCTCTCTTTTGACGTTATTGACGGAACGACACACTAAAACACTGCTCGAATTATGAACTGGTCTTGAATGTGATTTTTACACTGCTCGACGTAATTTGAAGTAAAACTCTTTTGTAGTTTACGTATTTATAATAAAGGTTTGGTCATTAGGCAGTTTTATATTTATGAGTATTTAACTTATGTAATAAATATAAAAATATACAGGGTGTTAAAAAAAAGTGTCACAAAATGAAATGGTGAATAGTATGACCCAAAATAAGCAGAAAAGTCTTAATAAATATATGACCGCAAATTAACGGTTTCGGAGATACGGACCATTTTGTGTTTATAACAATTTTTTATTATTATAAAAAAACAATGATATTTATAAACAATCAATAACAACATAGAGTTAAATGAGATGTTCAAATACTGACGTAGCGCTTCCCTCGCATTGCCATTTGCACGACCGTACATAAAATGCATGTCAGCTAATTCAATATTAGTGTAAACAGGCATAACGAAAATTTATAAAATTATTCACCCACAACAAAATAATAACTGCAAATAGTATCTATGAAAAAACATCGGTAGACTCCGATAAGAAAAGCAAGTTTTTGAGAATGAAAAAAGATAATCAAAAAATGATACAAAACACTCTGAAACCATTCATTTGCGGACATATGTTTATTAAGACTTTTCTGCATATTTTGGCCCATACTACCCCCCGTTTTATTTTGTGACACTTTTTTTTAACACCCTGTATATCACTATTGATAAATTTCAATTTTTTTACCTACGTCCGGATGAGCTAGAGACTTTAAAGTTGGTAGGTGCACAGGGTTTTGATTTTTGTTAACAATAGAAATTATTACTTATGGACCTTATTTATTAAACGAGTTGTCTCAAACTTTAAATTTCGCGTTTTTCAAACATGTCGCTGAATACAATTTTTGACTAATAAATCCACAACAACGAATTCCTATATCAGCTGCCGGACTAAAGTAAAAGGGGTTGTTTACATCTTTAGAAGACGTCTCGCTTCTCTATTTCGCGTCGGCGCACTAGAATTCGGTTCCCCAGCTGTCGCTACTCAACGGTTAATATACTTTGCATGTATCAACTTCCTTAAGGGACGCCACAGCGACATTGCATCTTACCCCCACCAAAGCCACGTGATTTTTGTCTGATAAATGTGATATCGTTAATGTAAAATAAAAAACCATCGATTAATATTACAATTACACATACTGTAAAATTTGTTTGTCTCTGATAAACAACTAGCGAGGTGTTTATGGATGAACTCAAATTCTTATCTCTGTTGTAACTTTTTATTCTTTCATAAACAACTTGCATCCATCACGTTCTGTCAACTGTCTGAACACCGATCATCATGTTAAGACAGATGATACATTCATGATCAATAGATAAAAGATTCATAGATAATACATTTATAGATATTACATTATCGCCTTACTTTAAATAAAAAGGTACATTGATTTTTTTTAATTACTATCATAATCATCGAGATAATCTGGTTTTCTTAGGCGACTACTGGGTCTCAAACCTCTTTGGTCGAATGACAATTCACTCTCCTCTTGAGATTTAGACACACTTTTGTCATGGAATCTAAATATTCTTCTGCTGAAGTTGTATCTTCACTAGTTTTCTTCTATAATTTCGATTGGGTTGTTTGAATCTTCAAATAAATTTAATATCTGCAATAGCGGATTATTTATTTCCTCCTCTCTCTCCCTCTCTTCAAATAAATTATCTTCGTCGCTGGGTGATATTTCGTGACATGTTTCAATGCTTTCTGGTGCGGGGGGTAAGATGTTGTGTGGTAAGTTTGCTTTATTAGTATTGAACATACAGCGTGTAAATCTTGGTGCTGCTTGGCTAGATAAATGTGGATCTTCGTGTTTAGGTATTGTTTGTGTAATTGGTTTTCTCAAATTTAACTTCTTAAAAAATGAAGAATTTCTTGTTTTAACTTATTCTCTTTTGACTTGTACGGTGGGATCCATAATTTTAATTACTCTATATGGCTTCAGGTCAAAGTAAGGTATTAAATTATTTTTTTGAACTTGTTTGCATAGTACTAGATCTCCTTCTTTGAAGTTGTGATTTTTTTGTTTTCAGCATAGATGTTTTGTTTTTGTTTGTTTTTCTTATCCATACTTGTTAGCGTTTCGTCTTGTTCATAGTCATATCTGTTGGTAAAGTAATTATTCATTTTTCTTCCAAATATGACTTTATATGAAGATTTTTCTGTTGTCGAATGTGGTGTGCTTCTGTAGTTAACGAGAAATTGTTGAATTTTTTATGTAAAATGTCAATTTTGTAAGTCAGTACAAAGGAGTGCATTTTTTACAGTTTTGACAAACCTTTCTGCCATCCCATTAGCTTCAGGCCAGAATGGTGTTCTTACATGTTTGATACCAAAACTATTTAAGAAATCTGTTAATTCCAGGCTGTTGAATGGTGGTCCATGGTCTGACTTGAATGATTTTGGAAAACCCCATGTTGGGAAAATGTTTTCAAGAATTGTTTTCACATGCATAAAAGATGTTGAGTTAGTTACCTCAATTATGAGATATCTGGAGTATTCATCTACCATTATAAAAGTATATATCTTGTTTTGAAATGGTCCCACATAATCAACATCGATGCATTGAAAAGGATAATCCGGTAGTTGACTTTGAATGATAGGATTTCGTTGAATGGACTTTGTGGCTGCTTGACACAGTATGCACGATTTAATGAATGTTTCACTGATAACATCCAGATTAGAAAACCATACTTTAGTCCTTAGGAGTTGTCCAAGTTCAACTGCTGTTCGTTGTAACGATGTTCGAAGAACTATACGATTACTTTTTAGTATGATATTATTGCGAAATGTGTTCTTCTTTGATTTTGGAGTAGGTATGTACTTAGTTCAGGTATTTGCCAGTTAGATTGTTTCTTTGTTGAAATTGCTGTTTTCAGTAACATCAGTAACGTGTCTATTTGTGTGTCCTCCTGCACCTGTTTGAGAGTCATTGCTTTTGGTATGGAGTTATTAATACAGAAATTGACATATTGTTCTACTTTATCATTGTAATCATCTGTTTGATGATTGCCTTCTTCCTTCAATTGGATGGGTAATCGGACGGGTTGGAGATACCTTGGTGATGTTGTATCTGGAAGTTGTATAGTTGAATCCTTAATAATAGTCTTTCAACTTTTGCATTTGGTGCTGATCTAGAGTTTTATATAGTTGTGAAAATGTTGTATGGCCCAAGTACAGGCTAATATCTCTTTTTCAAATTGACTGTATCTTTTCTGAACAGGTGATAATGTGGTACTTGCATAAGCTACAATCTGTATATTTTTGTTTTTACTTCTTGTGCTAAAATTGCACCTAGACCGTTAGGACCTGTATCTGTGTATAAATGGGTGGTTTTGTTGATGTCAAAATAGGCTAAATTAGTCATCACTAAGTAGTTTCTTGATTTCATTGAAGGTTTGTTCATGTTCAGTTGTCCAATTCCAGGTAGTGTTCTCTTAGGTTACTCGACTTTTCTGCCAGGTTGGGTAAAAGTTTTCCTACATAATTGTTCATCCCTAAAAAATTTCTTAGTTCTGTTGCGTTTTCAGGACTTTTTAGGGTTACAATACTGTTTACTTTAATTAGATCTGGATAAATGCCATCTTGCGAAAAAAAAAATCCAAAAAAGTTTATTTGTGGAACATTAAAAACACATTTTGTTTTGTTTATGGCTAAATTGTGTTCTTGTTGGGAAATTCCAAAAATTAAAATATCACTTATGATAGTTACACCTTCTATGTTTTGTAATATTTGGCTTATGGTATTTTGAAAATTTTCTGCTGCTGAATTGATACCAAAACTCTCATCTTTTGTATTGAAATAAACCAATGTGTGTAGAAAAAGTAGTTATGTATCTTGAGTCTGGTGTTAATTGATGATAGATGTATCGATTTTGCTAAACATTACCGATTCATTTAACTGTGTTATAATTTCATCTACCTTTCCCTCA